TGCACTGGGCCTCTAGTAGAACTATAAGAAGCAATATCCTAAAGGATAGGAACATATATTTGAGTGTTCTAATTGCTACCATTTAAATTGATTTTCTTCTACTAATCTTAATCAAATTGTATTTTTCTAAAGGATTATATAAAGTATAATCTCTTTTTTTGTAAGTATTGCCAAAAACTTTCTGAAAAATAAAGATGTTATAATTAACCTGTCTTGGACAATGCTTATAACCCAACTATCTTCAAAGAGAGAAGTTTGAACCTCAGAATGTAACTGTATTTGGAGATAGCTGTTAGGAGATTCACAAACATGGTTTTAGTCAGAAGCTAAGACTGAAAAAAAGTAAAGAGAGAAGTGAATATTTTCCCTGTGCAAATAAAACTGCATTACTTTGCATTTAAAGTTATTTTTCCTGCTAAGGAAAGATATACATAATTGTTTTTCATAACTACTTTTTTTCTGTTATGCACTCATTTCATCTGTTTTTCCCAAAGTGCAGACAACAGAAATAAAGAAAAATATTTCTTCTTGGTTGATATGTACTTTAACTATAATATCATCAGCTATCTAACATCATCAAGACTCTGGTGTTTGTGACAACAATCTTTTTTTGACTTACATTTTATTTTTACTGTGGAAATGGAGATATAGATCAGGAAAAATTCCTTGAAAAGGAACCTCATTTTATTAATCTGTGCATAAATATTTCTTAGTAGAGTCCCTGATACACAAGAAGTGACCAATTAATCATTGTTAACTGACTGTAATAGGATTTAAACAGCAAATATCCTTTAACCTTGCCAGTATTTTCTATGATTATCTTTGCTGTCAAATATTGTTATTAACACCAGACTCACACCAATTACCTGGGTGGAAGAGAAGCCTCCTTGGGAATTCATTTGTTGAGCAACCCACTGCACAATCTGACTAGCATAGGTGAGGTCAGGAGCTTTTTGGGAAATGATGGCCAACAGCACGTAGCAAGTCTTCTCAGTGTCGTCAGAAGGTGCCGGAGGAATAAAGGATGGGGGTGCTTCTGTCTTGGATTTCTTAGCTCTTTCCCAATATATTACATTATCTGAGAAAAAGAAAGAATTTTAACACAGTCCCTATAAAAAGAACTGATTACACATAAGAATGATGCAAATTCCATTCTTGGCCCCTGTTATGGACTGAATTGTACCCCTCAAAATTCACATGTTCAAGTCCTAAATGCCGGAACCTCAGAACATGACTCTATTTGGAGATAAGGCCTTCAAAGACGTGATTAAGTTAAAACAGGGCTGTTAGGATGTGCCTTAATCCAATCTACTTAGTGTCTTTAAATGAGGAAAGTTGGATACATGAAAGGGGCACCAGGGGTGCATGCACACAGAAAAAACCCACAATGTGAACATGGAGAGAGAAGATGGTTATCTGCAAACCAGGAATAAGGCTTCAGAAGAAACCAAACCTGTTGACAGCTTGATCCTGGAATTCTATCATCTAGAACCATGAAAAAATAAACTTCTGTTATTTAAGCCGTCTAGTCTGTGGTATTTTATATGGCAGCCTTATGAAATGAATATAGCAACTTCTTAAGGTCAAAAGTGGTATGTGATTAAGTTTTACAAGCAGTTTTTATTATCTATGGTATGGCCACTATGCTTGATTTACTTTATTTCACTCATTTAAAAAGAAACTAGAGGAAAATATATAGTATTCTTTAAAGACAAAGGGCCATTTGGAAATTCCATAAGGGAAATAGAAATATACTAGTCAAGAGAGTGTTCCTATATGAATGCTAAGGAAGTTTCATCACTTTATTCCCAAGGTCATCTCTATTAGAAAAAGTAAACAATAATTACTTTCTTTGATAGCAGATTGATCCAGGACCTGGAGTAAGGATTCCACCTGCTCCTCTTTTCCAGCTAATGCAAAAACATAAGCCAGCATTGCATGATTATAGTCATTGGTGACACCAGTTTCCAATGCCTCCTCCAGGAAAAAGAGCCCATGTCGCAGAGCAGGAAACTAGGCATGTAGAAAAACAACATATTTTAACATTATATACGCACACTTCACAATCTTGCTGAATAAACTAATCATTCTTTATATCTTAGGTTATGTATCCTTAAAATATATTTTATATACAAACCTGTCCATATGTATGCATATGTATTTTTCTTTATAAGTGTCAATAAAATTAACTTTGGATGGATTACTAGTGTTTGAGAAATAAAATTTAAATAATCTAAAAATGCCTTTTCTATATCTGATCAGTCATATTTCAGTTAACAATATAAATTTCTTATATGTGGCAAAGAATACACATTTACTTAAGATGTGTTATTCTAATACTTAAAATAGAAGCTTATATTTCTAAAGATGATTTTTGAGATAGACAATGATCCTGAAAGTTCCTAGTATCTTTTTTCAGGAACAGAGTGTGCAATCACATAATTTAACCTTTGGATTGGGAGGCAGCCAAGATGAACAACACTTAAGTTGAAATGTTTACACATTGAATTGGTTAAAGAAACAGAATCTAGGTTATGGTTATACTTAGTGCACCGGTTCTTAATCTAAAATTCATGGCTGAACTTCAGAAGATCTGTAAATATTGGAAGTGGTATGGAAAACTCTTTTGTGTGTAGATATGTATATTCTCCCTAGGGAAAAACTCAATAGTGTTCATCAAAGATTTCTATGAATGAAAAATAGCTTGAGTAACATCAACTCAAAGAGAGGTAATGATTGAAATGTTCTTTTGATGTTCCATCTGTTGTAAGGATTTCAAATCACTCTTATTTCACAGTCTATTTAATATGCATGCAGCTGACTGAAACGAAAAGATGATGGGAATCCTTACAGTAGAATTGAGCCCAGCTTCAAGGAATGCTCCAACAATATATGCAGTGAGTAAAATGTCCTCCTCCTCCTCCTCTTCTTCTCCCTAAACACAAAGGAACAATGAGTCCTACAGGATGGTAGAGCACAAAAGAACAGCTATCCTTCTGAAGTGAGACAAAGTATAAAAGAAACACTGAAAACAATTACCATTATTCATAAACACTTGACAATGTGTAATTTTTAAATTAAGTTGTTACTAATCATGCTGTTTGAATAAAAATTCATCAAGATCCAATGTAATAATGAACTAAAACATACAATTAATCTCAACTATACTTAATCACATATATAATTGC